GTCTGTCTGTCTGTGACACAGGCCTCAGCCTGGCAGCTCATGAGACTGGGCTGGGGGTCGTCCCAGTGCTAGAGGCTGGTGGGCCCGACCTCGGGATTCCGATGAGTCTGGTCTGGGTGAGCCGAGGCGTCCGTCCGTTGTTCAGCCGGGGTGAGGACCACTGATGCGGGGCGTCCGCAAGGCTACAGAAAGGTGGCTTTGCGGGAGTTTGGGGCTGTGTCAGAGACTGGCCTTAGATCTGGAGTATGTTCACAGCTAAACAAGAGTAATAGAATTTTGTGTGTAGATGAAAGTAAGAGATTTGATTTTGGAAACAGTACTTGTTAGAGCAGGCTTAAAGATGAAGAACAGAAGAAGAGGCGGTCTCAAGTCCTAAGCAGAGACTTCTGTGTGGAGTGTGCTGTTCTCAGTGTCTGGTGGCAGCATGTGACCACGTGATTTTAAATTAACTGAGCACCAGGCATTGGAGGTTACGAGAAAGTGTTTCCTTGATCTGAACTGATACATTTTGCAAACTTTTAAAAGTAAGATGGATCTGGCTGATAAGCCAGACTGCAAATTGGGATCCATACCCCTTTTCTGGGGGGGTGATAATACTGAGAGTTCTAATCCATGAAAGTGACTGTCCCTCTACTCACGTCTTCTTTCATTGCTCTCAGTAGTGTCCCGCAGGGGTCAGGTCAAGGCCTCACACACCTTTCACGCCAACGCAGATAGTCTCTGCTGTAACTTTTATTTTCCGATTGTTTCTATATAGAGAAATACAGCAGGATTTGTGTGTTGATCTTGTATCCCATTATCTTGCCTAGTTACTAATTTCAGCAATTTCTCGGTAGATTCTGTTGGGCCTTCTCTGCACCCAGTCACGTCCTCTGTGGATAATGACAGTTGTCCCTGAGTCCTTAGGCTTTTCGTTTTCAGTTGACTGACTTCCCTGACCTTCCATACAGCATGAGTCGGGGTGGCGATGGGGACACTGATTCTCAGTCTCGGGGGAGAGATGAAGCAGCTTCGTTAGCAGATTGTTTGGTGTGGCCTTACACTGAAGAAAGAGCTCGGCATTAAATTGAGAAGGAACTCATTTTTGATGTTCGGATTTTGCATTCTTGTAGAATACTGCTTTGCGTGTCTGTAGATGCCCTGTCTTATGATTTAGAAGAATGTTTCCCGAAGTGTGGGGCCCCTGGAGTGGGAATCTCATTGGCTAGTTTATGAAACAAGTTCTGTGGGGTCCTCTTCACACCCCGTCCCCTGCTTGGAAAGTTACAGTGTACTTAGCGTCATGGAGGCTCTGGGAAGTCCTGCACGAAGAAACCTCTTTCCCTTTGCTCAGGTAGTGGTTTCGCCAGAGTGTTTGCCCACAGAACTTTTATGTAACACCTGTTAGCATCTTGCTTGATTCTTGGAGAAGTTGAATTTGAATAAATGTTAGTGTATTTTTTTTTTTTTGCTGAGAAATTTGCCTCCCTAAACTTTCGTCACCAAGTAAGAGCAGATATGATTGCTTGAGTGAATTTAGAGCTCTTAGTGCTTCACAGTCGTCCCTTGGGCCTAAAGAGAATGATTGCTTTTTGTCTGTTTCAAAACAGAGTGGAACCAAAATGTAGGAAGTGACGTCTAACTGCTTACTTAAGTTGGTGTTTGAAAAGAAAAATACAGTAACTCCTGCCCCACAGTGCCAGCCCTGGAAGTGCCAGGAGGAGGCGCCTGGCCCTGGGCTGCTGTCCCCGCCCGGGCAGGGGAAGCTGGAGCCCCGGCCACCCTGCGCAGACCCCTGGGTGGGCGCCCAGAAGGGCTCTGAGTACAGTGGCCCCTGGTGGAGCCAGATGGCAGCCTGGCCAGCCCCAGGCTTCCGCTCCAGATGGGGTCGGGCTGCCCCGCCCGCCCTCCTCCCCGCACGCCTGCGGGCTCGCTGTGCTTCTTGGCTTCTCGGGCCTCAGCTGCCTCAGGGGAGAGCGTCTCTGGTCGCTGGGCACTTCTCTGGGTGGCCTTCTCTTGAATCTTCCTTCCTGCGTTTTTGGCTTTATGACACCTTTAAGCATCTTAAACCATTTTGTGCAGCCCTCTGTGGTCAGCAGAGGGCCAATGAGATTGCCTGCCCACTGAAGAGGATGCTGCCAACGCGCCGTTCCCTCTGTGACCGGAAGTCCCGCCTTGACCAGTGCAGCCTGAGCACCCACTTCTGTGGCGTGTCGCGTCAGTACGGCAGTGCCCCTTTGATTCCTCTCACTGCCGCCTGAGCCCTGCACGCTGTGTTAGCAGGCGGGTCCAGAGCCTCCATCCCGGGTGACCCCCTCCAGGGCTTCCTTATCCTGGGAGGGGAGCCCCCCTGTGGGCCGCCCGCTGGGAAGGGGCTGACCCCGCAGTCGCAGCCTCAGTTGGGGTGCTCCTGAAGCTGCTCAGGGTCCCCAGCTGCACCCCGGCCCTGGCTCTGGCGCATCGTGTCCTCAGCTGGGCCCGCCCCTGCCCAACCCTCCTGCTGCAGGTGCACTTCCCCCTGAACCCCTTCCCACACTCACCTTCCCCAGACACGGTGAGGGGGTCTAGCCCTCCCACCAGGGCCCGCCGGGGTTAGAGTAGATAGCAGAAAAGAAATGAAATACATGGGAGGAACTGTTCCCCCCAGCACATGGTTACATTTCTGCTTTCCTTTTTCAGGTCTAGGTTAGCAATGGATTCTGTGAACCGTTTCATCAGTTAGTTGGTACATCAGCCATCCTCAAAACCTGGGTGTGCACCAGGAGCCCCGGGAGGCCTTGTTCAGTCATGTGACTGGCCCAGCCAGCCAAGTTGCCTATTGAGTAGGTTGGGTGGGGCCCAGGAACTTGCATTTCTACGGAACTCCTACCTGACACTGAAGCTGCTGGCCCGGGACCCACACTCCGAGAGCTGGTGGCACGAGCAGTTTTTAAGAAAAAGACAAACCTGAACGTTAACAGAGAACATTGTTCTGTCTAAGTTTGTAGGACATGCTGTTTTGGATATCATAGCTCAGATATCTTTTTTTATTTTAAATTTCACAGAAATAAAAGAAGAGCTTGAAGATCTGAACAAAGAAATCAAGAAAACTGCTAATAAAATTCGGACCAAGTTGAAGTGTGAGTTTAAAGTTTTGATTATGTGTAATAATTGACATTGGGACTATGGGAAATTATTCTTTTCTTCTTTATAATTTTTATGCTTTTACATCTTCAAAAGTTAAAATTGTGAGCACTTTAAATTATTTGTATGTACCTGGAATAGTAAGCCTCGTCTAAGTTACACACTGTCCTAGGATTCTTGAACTCCCAGCTCTGGGGAGCACATACCAGGAGCTGAAGCTCGTGGCTGTTAAGCACTAATTCATATTCAGCAAGAGCAAGCACTGTACGCTGTTCATCTTTTACACTGTGTGTTTATTGGTGTAGTTTCAGGCCAAACTGCAGGCCCTTGAGCAGGTGAGCAGCCTTTAAAGTGAATCACCAGATTCTTCTTCAGGGTTTAGTTGACGAGCTCTTTTGAACATTTAGTACAGTTCAGCTTAGTTGATGGTTCAGTTTCAACATCAGTGGATTCCAAGAGGTTTACAGCTTTCCTCTGGGACTTAACCCAGAGGTGGTGTTTTCTTGATACGGTAGAAAGACACATTGTATTTAATTTTTGCAAAATAACGTTCAAATCAAGAATGTTTCTGAAGATCAAGGCCTTTATTATGGGAAATTTCAGACATATATGGGGGTGGAGCCAGTGTCCATGACCTTCAGCTCCACAGTCCTCAGTGGCCCCCACCCAGCCTGGTTGGTTTTGCAGCCAATCCCAGACATCCCGGACTTTTACCAGCATATGGTCTTCAGTGTGTATTTCTAAAACAAGGATTTCCCTCCAAAATACAACTGTAATACTATTATTACATCTAAGTTACATAATTTTTTTTCTAGTTTGTTAAAACTGAGGGGGGCACATAATTAGGTTGGTTGGTTTGTGTTTTAGAGGAGGTACTGGAAGTTGAACCTTACGCATGCTAAGCACACACTCTACCACTTGAGCTATACCCACCCGCTAAGTCACATTAAATACTATTATTTATTATAAACCAGCCAGTCAGGATTTAGACTTCCCCAGTGATCTTTTAATTTTTTTTTAACAGTTTGTTTGAATTGGGTTCCAAATAAGGACTATACACTGTGGTTGTCGGTATGTCACTCAAAATTTCTTTAGATTGGTTTCTCCTTCCATCTTTGTCCCCAGCACTTTTTTTTTGGTTGGAGAAGCCAGGACGTTAGTCCATCCAAAGTTGCCATGTTGCCGTTTCGCTGACTTCCCCCCTCTGATGTCACCTAACAGGTTCCACTGTCCTCTGCAATTCCTGTCAATTGATAGTTAAGTTCTCCAAACGGGATCAGGTTCAGCTTTTTTTCTTTTAAACGTTAAGCTGTAACATCTGGCTTTATTTTGTAATATTATCAATAAATGATTACCAAAATTCATACATTTATTAGTAGTTGAAAAGATAAATTTGAGATAGGGCTTGAAAAACTTTTTTTTTTTAGTTTAAAAGGTAACTCTTTCTTGTGTTTCTAGCTATTGAGCAGAGTTTTGATCAGGATGAGAGTGGGAACCGGACTTCGGTGGATCTTCGGATACGAAGAACCCAGGTTTGACTGTCAGCCTCGTCTAGATTGGAGTGATGTCCAAGAATAGGCCTCTTTACTTTCTTCTTCCAGATTCATAATAATTTGTCTTTACTGTCCCACGAATCCTCACAACATTTCCACGTAAGAAAGGCACAGTGTTTAGATTACCTCTATATTACGAAGGGAAAAAAAATCTGTTCAGCCCGTCAACAGAGTTCTGTTCTGAAGAGCAGAGAATCACCCGAATCCTTGCAGTGCTGGCGCTGAGACCCTCGCCCTACAGGGGTTTGTGGGGCAGCACAGTGGGACTCAGTCCACTCAACTCTGCCTGACAGATGGTGGTTGTACATTTGGGCTCTGGGGGCAGTGTGCTTGGGTTCCAAATCTGATCCAGTCAGCCTGAAGCCATGGGCCTACTGGCTTCTCTAAATCCTGGCTTTCCCTCCTGTCACACGGGGGCAGTAACAGTGCAGCAGGGTCACTGTGAAAATCAAGCACGCTTGTTCATGTCGAGTTCTCAGCTTAGACTCCGTTACAGAGTAAGTTGCTCTTATTTTCCACTTGAAGGAGTAAGTAGCCGAATAGTTTGAATTTTTGCAATGTAATATTTTCATTGATCACTTAACAGAAGTGGCCATTATGTATTGATCCAGTTTTTCCTGTGTTGCCAGCATTCAGTGCTGTCTCGAAAGTTTGTGGAAGTTATGACAGAATATAATGACGCTCAGACTCTGTTTCGGGAGCGAAGCAAAGGACGGATACAGCGGCAGCTGGAAATAAGTGAGTCAGTGAAAATGCTGTCTTTGTTAAAAACGTATTTTTCTTCCTTAAGGTCTGACGTGAAGGTATGTAACTCCAAAAAAGTGATTCCATCTCTGTTTTTGTCAGTACTGTAAAACCTAAAGCCCTTACAGAGTTTCCTGTTCATTGAATCAACCAGCCTATTGTTTACTGACCTCCTTCAGAAATTCTAGGTGACTGGACCTCAGAGTACTTTCTGTTGACCAGACTTGTAGAGGGTTAATCAGGTTTGGAAAACTTTCAGCCATCATCTCCTGGAGTAGTTTTGTGTCCCCCTACCCTTCCTGCCCCGTCTCAGGAGACCGTTCCCGGGGGTCTCTCACGGTTCTGCAGGTCTGGTGAGCAGACAGGCAGTGCCCTCCTGCTCCGGACTCCCTTCCCAGGATGTCTGTGTACGCTCAGCCTGGGCAGAGGCCGTGCGCGTGCTGCGTAGAGGTCAGGCGGGCTTGCTTACTCCCCGTCGCGGAAGAGCAGGGTTCCGAGTTGCAACACCGGCCCAGTGTGGGCACCGGGTCTGCTGGGCTGCTCTGCCCCCCAGGGACTCGGGGAGGGGGAGGAGCGGTGAGCACGGACCTCATTAAGTGACACTGTAACAATTGATTGAGAGACAGTTGACATGCCATGTGAATGGTGTTCCAAGTGTATAGCCCAGTGGTTTTAGTATATTAGCACAATCAATTTTAGAACATTTTAATCACCCCTAAAGGAAACTCTGACGTGTGACCAGTCTCTCCACTTCCCTCCCCCAGCCCTAGGCAGCAGCCAGTTTACTCTCGTATTTGTAGATTTGCCTATTTGCACATCGACATAAACTGGCCGCCTCCACTGAGCACAGTGTTTTCAAGGCTCCACCATATTGTAGCGCATATCAGTGTTTCAGCCTCTTTATGGTTGGATCACGTCCATCGTGGGGATGGATCACATTAACGATAGGTTTATTCAGTCATCAGGGGATGAACATTTGGGTTGTTTCCACTTTTTGGTGATTATGAATGATGCTGCTAGGAACATTCACATTAAGTGTTATTTTAATTATTATGACATTTACTCATTTAATTTTGTCTTTTGTGGCACGGAGTGTGAACAATAGTAATCATCAGTTGGGTTGTTCCGAAAACCTGTGAACCTGTCCACACGTTTAACTCAAGGAGTAAGACCGGAAGTGTTCACGCCGGTCGCTCTGATGCTGCGTCTGCATCCTCGCCCTTCAGCGCGTGCGCTCAGCTGTCCCCTTCCCCACAGCCAGAGTCACCCTTTTAGGAAAACTGATTTGCCCAGAGTGTGTGTGTCAGTTTCCTTTTTATAGTTGCTTCTCATTCATGCTAACACTGAGCGTTGTTGTTCGTTCCAGTCCTAAGGTTTTTCATGAGCGGTTTCCAGTGCTTCCTGCTTCTGAGTCTTACGTTAATTTCTTTCATCATTAACACTTGCCTAAGCAAATACATTTGAAAGTTTAGGAAAACATTGTTTAAAAACGTTAGCAACTCAGATTGTAGCTGCTAACTTACGGGTGCCAACGTCATTTTCAAATATTGCTGCATTCTGAACGGAGGTTTTACTTGTTAATATTTTAGCTGGAAAAACCACCACCGATGATGAACTCGAAGAGATGCTGGAAAGTGGCAACCCCTCCATTTTCACGTCAGACGTGAGTACGTGGGGGGCTTTGTGACCGCGCGTGCTTGTACGTGCACATGCGCTTTCTCCCTCTCGCTGCCAGAGCAGTCGTGAGGTCACTAGTGTTTCTCTTTTGCTTGTTTTTTCCAAAGATCATATCAGATTCACAAATCACTAGACAAGCTCTCAGTGAAATTGAGTCGCGTCACAAAGACATCATGAGGCTGGAGACCAGCATCCGGGAGCTGCATGAGGTGTTCGTGGACATGGCCGTGCTTGTGGAGACGCAGGTAGCCGCGCGCCGTCACCGCCCCACGGCGGGGCAGGCACTTGGACGGGCGCACGTCTGGTTCCCACAGGCCTGGGAAGGCCATTGTTTTGGGTTCAGTCTCATAATTCAAAGGCTGATTGTAGTGTTATTGCCATGTGAGACTGAAATGCTGGAAACAACTTGAACCTTGCACAGCAAGGGACTGGTTTAGTTAATTGAATTCGGGCGTGTCCAGAGCACGGCGGGTAGGCCACTCGGGCTTTGTTCACGGAGGGTCGCTAATGAAACACACAGCGCTGCGCTGGAATCTCAGGTTGGCATCAGAGGGAGATGCGAAGCCTCGCACGCCGCGTGTGTGTGTGTACACGTGTGTATACCTAGACACGCATGTATGTGCAGATATGAATGTGTGTGACACACCTATACGCGCACGCATGTGTGTAGAAGTGAGCACGGCGTGCGCTCCGCGACGTGGAGCAGCATTCACAGAAGGAAAGAAGCGCGCCAAGCAGTGTAGCAGCAGGGGGTTCTGGGAATCCTCGTTTTCTTCTTTAAAGTGTGTGTGTTTTGAAGTTTTCTACAAGGAGCTATATGAGAGTAACAATTGGGAGAAACGTTTACAAGAATAAGCCCCAAAGGGGCTGCAGCCACGCCATAAACCAAGCTCGTACTTGCTGTGCGGTGTCCACGGCATGGGCAGGGGGACCCTGTGGGGGCTGAGGGAGCCAGCGCCGCGCGCCGGCGCCCTGCTGGGCGGGCGGGTTGCTGCGCCGCCTCTCGTGGCCCTGATAG